TCAGCAGGATTTCTTAAAAGAAGAGTTTGGGACTAGAGGATGCACTGTTCATTCTCAAAGAAAAATAAAAAATCCATGCAAAAAAGAACCCCCACCCTCTTCCTGCTTTCTCTCCCACCCAAAGTGTAAGGCCATATGGAATGACCACATAAGGGATGGCTCTTCCTTCCAGTGTTCCTCCTCATGCCTACTGTGGGAGCTATTGTCTAAATGCAATAATTAAAACAAGACCAAAAGAAAATTCAATTGCACAATCCTAGTCTGCAGGTGACAATGTCATAACATCTCTTTACAGAAGTCCCTACCCTCTTCCAGTTAGGAGAATTGGTTGTCGTGTTGTGTTTGTCCCCGACTCTCACCTACGTGGCTGATGTCAGTTACTGTCCATATTGTTAACAGAAGTCAGTCTATCTACTATTGCTTTGCTCTCCCTTCTTCACCTATGTGTAGTTTACATTCTACATGGCACTGCCTGCCAAGAGTTGACTTCAGGGTGTTTTCCCCCCATTTTAAAGCCCATAGCTCAAGTGATGATCTCCTCACTGCAGCTAGGCACCGGTGTAACCCGTGAGATGTCTGTTACAGACTGCGAGGCACGTCCTTGCTAGATCATTCCATTTATCTTAGTCCACTCATAGATGTCCTGTTCACATACTATGTCCGAGTTGATGAGGAGATATCTGTCCCCAACACAGAAATGTTTCTGGCAGGCAGCACATTTGAAACATTCAAGGTGATACACTTTGTCCTTCACTCGCATGGTCATCTCGTACGCCCGGATTCGCTTGTCACAGGAGGCACAGAGCCCGTCTTGGCCAAAGAGCCTGAAACAACAACAGCAGAGAAGTAAGCAGAGTTCATTTGCTGGGGAGGTGGGAAAAACCAAATCAAATCAAGAACACAATACCGGTGCCTTGAGCCATCAGTCACAGCAGTGCTGACTCAGACAGAGGTCAAGCTGCTGAGCAGAACTGGAAAGTTTGCAACACCAAAAGTAGAAAGTCCAAGGTCCTCACCTGCTATCAGTGCCATAGAATCATGGAGTGGTTTGAGTTGGAAAGGAATCTTAAAGCCTATCCAGTTCTGCCATGGGCAGGGAGGGACACCTTCCACTAGCCCAGGTTGCTCCAAACCCCATCCAACCTGGCCTGGAACATTTCCAGGGATGGAGCAGCCACAGCTTCCCTAGGAACCTGTGCCAATGCCTCGCCACCCTCACAGGGAAAAATTTATTCCTAATATCCAAACTAAATCTACGCATATCTATCAATATAATTGACTTCTGTGATCAATGACCTTATCCTTAATTTCTGAGCAGCTTCAGGAGCAGCAAAGTTTCCTCAGTGCATTGCATGAAGTTCTGCTGTACTAACACTTCCACTTCTGTAACCAACAGAAATTACCTTTAGTTGATAAACACATGGAGAAACCCTGCTGAGGTCCTGATGATACAGTCTACTAAGAGGAGCCTTTAATGAGGCTCCTAAGGAGCCTCCTATAGAGTTTGCAAGTCAAAGCATTAATAAATAAGCATGAATATATTGATTTGTTTTCTTAAAAGAGAGGAGAAATGCTAGGTGTAACATGATCAGTGTATACACCTATTGAGTTTGACTTCTAAACTTCCAGCCTAATTCTGCAAAGAGTTTTTCCACCTCCTACACTTGTCTTGCATGTGCTGTGCCTGATTTATATCATCTTCTGAACTCGAAAAAGGATGTCTACCAAGAGGGAACTTTGAGGAAAGAACATCATTTCTTTCGTCTGCCAGGAGATGTCAGTGTTTACCTCTGTCCAACGAAAGTAACACTGAGGTTACACAAAAGTTGCCAAATTTTTCATTAAAGAGGGAAGATATTATCTGTTGCATTATTAATTAAATAAAAACGTTGACTTTCACTCCAAGAAAAATACATTAATTGCTTTTCCATACTTCCTGTTGCTTCCATTTTAAGATGAAAAGTATTTGGGAAGTGTAATTAACACTGGATCACTCCTAGACCTACAAGTGGTCCCATTAGCAGAACTCGGTCCTTAGTTTCTGCTTAGCAAAATTCCCATCAGTAAAGCACAGGGACATTGTAATTAGGAAGTCCACTGAGATTTTGGGTTAGTTCTTATTGGCAGGTAAATTAGCCTTCAGTAAAACAGCTTAAAAAATACCAAATGCCATTATTCTGTTCCACAGACCTTCCTGACATGTTAGGGATCCATTGGAAGAAATGGAACACAACCAGCACAGCAAAGATCAATACATTTTAAATGTAATCAAGAATTTAAAGATCTTTCTTAGCCATTTTTGTGGCATCTCTTATATCACTGATATTGCCACATAAGGAGAATGGATTTAATTCCGTTACCATGGATACCGTGTTCTTAATGAGAGAACTAAATGATCTTTCACCATCTTACCTGGGTTTATACACCTTTCAACTCCAAGGCAATGCTTGGAGAAGCACAGAACATCTTAAAGCCAGTCAGGTGAATGGGTTCAATGACAGCTTGGGTGCAGCTTGCTGAAATTCAGCCCCTTTTCCCAATTTCTACTTGCCAGAGTGCCACACTGACCCTGCATGGTGCACCTGGAGCTAGCAGGTTATGTCTGTGCAGACTATTGGATGCCAACGGCCCCAAAGTCCAAGGAGTTCTTACTGTATTCTTCATGTTATCAAATAATTCTTGTTTACCACAGCATGTAGCAATGCTTTCATTTCCACTTAAAAATATGCTTTTTTCCCCCAACAAGGTTTTAAAGATTTAACTATAAACAACTCTAAGCTGTTTACCTAACCAGCACAGATAACCTTTAGATTTATCTATAACTTAGTGAAAAACCCCAGCAATAGCAGGAAGCATCTGCACATGAACCCCAAAAATATGAAGACAAGGCTGAGTGAGATGGGACTGTTCAGCCTGGAGAAGAGTCCAGAGAGAGCTTAGAGCTCCTTTCAGTGTCTAAAGGGGCTCCAGGAGAGCTGGAGAAACTCTGGACCAGGGCCTGGAGGGACAGGAGAAGGGGGAATGAGCTCCCACTGACAGAGGGCAGGGTTAGATGAGATATTGGGAAGAAATATTTCCCTGTAAGGTGCTGAGGCACTGGTTCAGGTTGCCCAAAGAAGCTGTGGCTGCTCCATCCCTGGAAGTGTTCCAGGCCAGGTTGGATGGGGCTTGGAGCAACCTGGTCTAGTGGAAGGTGTCCTTGCCCATGGCAGGGGGTGGAACTGGATAAACTTTAAGGTTTCTTCCAACTCAAACCATTCTACAATTCTGTTAGTATGATATAAGCTTATATCGTAAACCTGAACTTGCAAACACTGCTATGCCATCACACCTGTGAATGCTGCCAGGCTCTAAGAGTAACTAAAATGCATTCTTTTTTCCTGGCTATACTCATTAAACAAACAAGCAAAGCTGCAACAATGGGAAGGAGGGGGACAGAGAGGGTGTAAGGAGTGGGTTGTGTACCTGAGATAGTCCCTCCTGCAGAGCTTCCTGCCCAGTTTGTAATAGAGGCGTCTCCCCACCTCCCCGAGCCTGCAGCCACACAGGTCACAGCTCAGACAGTCCTCGTGCCAGTACTGGTCGATGGCCTTCAGGAAATAACGGTCCCCGATGTTCTGCTGGCACCCACCACATGTCAGCAGCGAGGGGGGGATTTGGAGCACTTCATCCACTGGCTCCCTGAGGGAATGAGAGGATGGTTGGAGAAGGAAAATGGACTCTGAGAGCATCCACGTGAGAAGGAAAAGCAAAACAAGCCACGAGACTCTGCTCACCAAGGACTAAAGGACTGAGAAAGGCACCTGAGGGATTTTAGATTTTCCACTGGGAAATGCAAATGTGAGGACTAAGTCTGAGGATGGCCTTTCTCTGAACAGCATGAAATGAATAAATACAACAGATGAGGCTGTTGCCCAAGTGGTTTAAGTTTTGCTGCTGGTTTTAATAGAGTCACAATTTAACCTCAAGTTACTACAAGACTTCTTTTTTCTCTTAGCTAAGGACATGAATCCCCTGGGGTGGGTTTATGCCAACATAGCTCAAAGAGTTATTTGGGATTTACACATCCCTGCATGAAAAGAGGCACAATCTTTTATCATGATATTAGAACTGGCTATTTATACGCTTCGTTTTGTTCCTTTTTTTAAAAAGCTGAGAGATTTAGGATGCTTCTGGTAATACCTGGTAATAAAGCAAGAATGTTCTTCAAAGCTACTTTCTTAAGGAATTCTCTTCTTTGTCTTTTTGGGTAATTTTATAGGTTAAAAAAATACAGTAAGAAAAATGAAAAGGAAAGTGCCTGAGCTCACCCAAACCCCAGGGAAGTCAATAAAAAATTTATTGGATTCAATCCTTTAAGCACTTGCTTAATTTGAAACCTGTGGCTAGTCGAATGGACCCCCAAATCTTTTCATATTACTGGGTTCTTGCTCTAGCACAGAGTCCCTCAGCAATTAGTTTCTGTCACTGGTCTGTCCTCCCTTGGGCTGGTGGGGGCAGAGGAGACCTACACTGATGAAGAAGGAGCTGCCTGCTCCCAGTTTCCAGCAGGCAACAGGAAAAAATGATATTACTCCTGCTTATTTACTGGATCAGCAGTTTTCTGGGCAAAAATTACTTTCTTCAGCAGGGAGGAACGACCTCTGGTCAAGAACTTCTGGGCTGAGAAAGTGATCCTGCAGTTTTTATTTAGGCAAGCTGAGCCCTGAGATATTATCTGGTTATATTCTGCTCTGGTTTGCACTCTGTTAAGTTTAAACTGCTGCGCCCTGCAAGTTGTGTTATAACATCCCTCTCCTGCCAGCTCTCCATCCTCTGAGTTTCTGTGAAAATCATGGGGAACTCATGATTAGGCCCTAATTTTTCCAAATTTATCCTTTTGGGCCTCACACTCCCTTTCCTAGCACATGAGCTCCACTCCGACAAATTCTGAGAGCTTTCGAGAGAAGGGAATACACATCATTATCCTTTATTACCTGTCACTTGAAATTTCAGATGTACCCCAAAATATTTAATCTGAGGGGTGTCTGGGAACCCTGAGCCAGGTTTCTCTGACAGCCCCAAACTCCGGAAAGCCCCAAAGGGATGTTTACATGGAACAACATTCCTAGTTTGTGCATTAAGCTTTTTGATGTCCATGGGTTTCTAAGCCAGCACTTAAGTCACCAGAACACAAGGCAGGTAAATAAATAAAGATTAAAATAGCTTTGTAGTTGAAAGCTGGACATCATTAGGAGCTTGGATTAGTGTTTCTCAAAAAAAACCCAGCATGAAATAAGAGCAAATGTAGCATGTAAAACATCAGATGCAACACGGAACGAAGTGATTTAATCCCCCAAAGCAGTTCCCATGTGTTCACTCCGGGCTTCAAGCACTGGCATCTTTAGTATCTCACAGGAAACAAGCCACGAATGACTCAATTGAGTAAGAGCAATGTTTTAAGCTTTATCTAGCAAAGGAGATTTTATAATTTCTTTTTTTTTTCTTCTCTCTGATCGTGATTCCAGACAAGCCTAAGTGCAGTTCTTAGCATGCACAGGGCTGAAGTGCCCCTGGGTCTGTGCTGAGTTGCAGGAGGCACAGGACAGCAGGAGCACAGCCTGGATCAAGACACGGGAACTGCTCCCTCCCGAGTGCAAAACCCAGGGAGGGAAATTCTCATCTCCTACATCCCATCCGTCAAGTCTTTCTACATGCCCTTCGCAGAACACCCAGCCCCCACCAAAGCAGTTTCGACGAGCTCTTCAAAGTTGCATTATGAAAACGTGGAAGTTGGGCACCCGCAGATAACAGCCCTGACCTTTCACTGATGGGCTGCAGCGGCTCGGGCAGACCAGGGACGGGGCAGAGAGCGGCACAGAGGGGCCCCGCGATGGAAAACCCTTTCGGGCTTGGGAAGCGGGATGCTCTTCCTCTCCCCGAGCATCCCCAGCGCCCGGGGTGGGAGGAGCGGGTGGGAGATTCCCTACCCGGGGGGTTTGCGCCTCTCTGCTCCTTC